AGTTTTGTTGGGGAGGGGTGCGTGGGGGTAGTGGGAGAGAGGGGGCCGCGTGGGAGGTGAGGTAGCGGGGGAGGGACGCGTGGGAGGTGAGGTAGGGGGGGGGGGAAGGGGCGCGTTGTGGGGAGGAGAGGTGGGGGGAGGGGTGTTGGTGCCCAGGTGGCCTCTTGGTACGTGAGCTGTGTGTAGAGATGTGTTTGTGTGCGTGTGTGTACGTGGAGGAGTGTGGATGCTGACGGGTGGTGAATGTGTATGTTTGTATGTGTGTACGTTTGTGTGGTGGGTTGTGAGTGTTAATGGGTGGTGGTTTATATGTATACTTGTATTATATATATGTTCAGTTGATGGGAAATAATGGTGAGAGGGGTCGGTCCGTTGACGTCCGAGTGAACAGCTAAATGTTGGGGTGGTTTTGTTGTCGGAAGCCAGCTGGGTAAGACCGAGGAAAATACGGTGATTCTATCTTACTTGTCGAGGAAGCTGGAGGAGAGTGAGGTGCTTGTTGGAGTAATAAGATCTCCGGGTCCACATTCTCAGAGGCCTGCAAGGGTGAAAATTCCTCGTAACTGGAAATATAAGACGACCTAATTTGTTGGCTTCAGTCAGAGTATAACCTAACCTAACCTAACCTAACCTAACCTAACATAGCCTAACCTAATATGACCTAACGCAATGCTAACCTAACCTGACATAGCATAACCTAACCTGTCTAACTAACCTAATTTAACCTAACCTAGCTAACCTACAGCAATTTAACCTAACCTATCGAACTAACCTAATGCTAACCTAACTTAACTAAACCTAATCTTCACGTGATCCAAACACTACTAGTCATAAGAATTACACTGACAATACCCAAACCCAACACCTTCACTCAACACCAATTAGGAGACGAAATTAAAGGTACAGATTCTTGAGATAAATTCAATTATACTTTCCTTTGTGTTTTGTCTCTAATCAAGGTAGCGAATTTTATTTTATTTTTTTTTTATCTTTATTTTTTGACATTTGGGTTAGTGAGTTAGGTGGATTTTTCATGTCTTTGTTTACGATGAGAATTCCTTGTATGAATGTTTGTGAATCCGCGGAATGGAGGGAAAAAAAACACCAGGTGATTTTGTCCTCAAAGCTTTCAGAAAAATGGAGAAAATTGCAGTTAATTCGTCCTTTCTCTCCCAGCCCGTCTATTAAACCCACTACCCTTCACCACCAGCCCTTCCATTACTACACCCCCCTACCCCCACACACCCCTTCCCAAGACATCTCCAAGGAGAGGTTAAAATAGATTAGATTAGGTTAAATTAAATTAGTTTAGATTAGATTAAATTGTTAGATTAAGTTTCGATACATAATTTCCCTAACCAAACTAAAGAAGTAAAAATACATATACAATGAATTTACTTAAGACACAGTTAACGTTTAAAATGGCGTCGACAATGCACTGACTCCACCATAATCCTGTATCTATTCTCTCAAAAGTTTAGAGCAACAAGGAATCAATCTATGAACTTTTCAGAGCCAGGAGATTCATAGAGGTGCGTGCGGTGAGTCGACCTCGTAGCTACTTGGTGATGTAAGAATGTATTACCAAGTTAAACTGATTAGAATTGAAGTTTGAATGGATGTGTGATTAGATACGTTCACTTGTTAACCAAAATAATTCTAACCTAATTTAACCTAACTTAAACAAACCTACTTTATCCTAACCTAACAAAACGAAACCAAATTTAACTTAACCTAATTTAACCTAACTAAACTAACCAAACGAAACCTAATCTAACCTTATTTAACTTAACCTAAACTTACCTAACCAAAACTAACAAATCTAGTGTCAGTATAACTTGTCTATTTTTTGTTTTGAGTCAACTAATTAGATATCTTCATAAATTTTCACTTACGAGAAAAAACATTCACGGTCGGACGGAACCTTTGTGACTGTTGTGTTGTGTTGTGTTGTATTGTATTGTCCCTCGGGTAATGAAACGTTTTATCTAAGGTTGTGTTCTAGTGTGTGTGTGTGTGTGGTTCTCTTGGGGTGTAGGAGCTAGGGGGGGGAGGGGAGATTAAGGAAATAGGAAGTAGGGGAAAAGGCGGGGAGAAATGGGTGAGGGGAGGGCTGCAGGAGCTGGGGGAAAAGAACGGGAAAGAAAGGGTGGTTGTAGGGAGGGTAGGGGAAGGGAGGGTTGGATGAGGGAAAGGGAGGATTAGGTGTGGAAAGGAAAGGGATAGGAAGGAAAGGGGGATAAATGGATGGGGAAGAGGGGAAAAGATGGGAGGTGAAAAGGAGGGAGGTAAAAGGAAAGTATGGGAGATGTCTGGGGAAAGGGAGGCGGAGGAAGAAGAGAGAGGTGGACGAGGAAGCAGAGCAGGGAAGCGGAGGAAGACCCTGCCCTCTCCATTACCTGATTTTTTTTCACCTAGAGAATAATTGATGAGAGGCCCTGCTATAAACTCTCTCTCTATTACGCCCTTCATACTGTCTTTCTATCACTCCCTTCATTCTCTCTCTCTAACTTTCTATTAGTCCCTTCACTCTGTCTCTCCCACTATGTCATTACATTTATTCTCTCCATCACTCTAAACTTTAATGTAAGTTAAGAATATGAGAGAGAGAGAGAGAGAGAGAGAGAGAGAGAGAGAGAGAGAGAGAGCATATTTCAACAGGTATTAAAGAATCCACTTTTAATCTCTGCTAAAAGCCAAGTCGTGTTGCCTCTTAAAACTTGCCTCAATTACCAAGTGAAATGGGTTGGTTTGTGTGTGTGTGTTTATGCATGTCTGTGTGTTTGTTTTTTGTCTGTATGGATGAGTTTTTCTCTCTTATTGGTGTATTCGTTTCTCTATGCATGTCTGTCTCTTTGTCTGTCTGTATCTGATTGTTTGTTTAAGCTCGTATGATTGATTTTTTGTTTGTATGCATTTGTTTGACTATTTGTAGTGTGGATGACATTGAATGATGTAATCTGTCACAAGACTTGATAAAAACACCCACACATCGGTTCTTGGAAATAACAAATAAATTATCATCATCATTACTACATAAACACAACAAATACCACAAACCTCTACCAGTCATTTCACAACAATATCACTCATTAAATAACTTCAAAGTCCATCAGTTTTATCATATTACCAACCATGTAACTCACACACCTTCATCACTTGTGTCCTAATCGACGCAAAACAGATTCAACGTCGGTAACTCTAGTTCAGATGAGTTAGGGAGGAAAGACTTTATCATAGGTTAACATAGTTTTAATGGAACCTCTTCATTTAATGGGTCATTTAGATGAAAACTTGTAAGATTTGCCGGGAACATTAATGGGGAAATGCCAGGGGTGGTTGGGGGTTAGGGTGGGGGATTTTGGTTGGGGAAGGATAAGAGTGGTGGTTGAGGGAGGGTTAGGATGGTGGTTAGGTTAAAGTGGGGGTGGTGGATGGGGTATAAGAGTCATGGAGAGGAAGGAAGATGAAAGGATCCATTAGTTCAAAACAGTAAAATGGTCTACCATGAATTTCTATTTATTGTATATGATAAAATCGCACGTCCATTTGCAAGTTCAAATCCTATGATCAGTTGGTATTACAGGTGTATGTGCCACGTTTGATGGACTCGTTTTAATGTTTATGTTTATTCTAGCGAGACACATATGATATATTCGTTTAACTTATGTGTTTAACTAGACACATATGAGTCACTAGTTTTAATGCTGATGATTATTCTAGCTAGCCATGTATGATAAATTATTTTAACTCATGTGTTTAACTAGTCACATGTGAACCACTCAATTTAACTCGTATGTTTAACTAGCCTTGTATGAATCACTCAATTTAACTCATATGTTTAACTAACCATGTATGAATCACTCAATTTAACTCGTGTGTTTAACTAGCCACGTATGAGTCACCCATTTTAACGCCTATGCTTATATTAACTAGCCAGGTATGACACACTCTCGTTTATAGAGGGGAGGTGGACAGTGTACATGTCTCAGCTGTCCCCTCCCCTTAGTAATAATCTCTAAACTGGGAAAAATATACAATGTTTTTACAAGAGAACCGCTGTGATTTTGTAGACGTTCTGCTCGTGGCCACTGTCAAAAAGGTTAGAAAAAATAAGTGTACTAGTTGCGACCCCCAACCCTACTTCCTCCCTTTATTAAATAAATAAGAAAGAATAAAAATTAATAAAAATAATAATAAAATATCTCACCATTGTTGTCAGAAAGATTTGTTGGTGCTGGGTAAAATATTCACCACTGGTAGGTACTAGAGAATGGCTCCCAGGTTCCTGCCACTCACGCTGAATAATGCACCAGGGCGTACTAGGCAGAGTCTCCCCTCCTCGCCTTCATCTTAATGCTTCTTGCTCTGTGAACTTTAGCTTATATACCCTTGTGACTTAAGCTGAATACATAGCCCCTTTCTGTAGCTTAGAATTGTACGTCTGTCTGCTTTAATGTTTGAGGATTCACAAGTGAGGATGGATGTTAATAATAGTCATAATAATAAAAATATAATAATAATAATAATACAGTAATAATAATAACAACACATACTGTATTGTACAAAAAAATATAAGTTAAAATATTAATAAAAATAATAACAATGCATTGGATAAATGATAACAATAACAATAATAATAAAAAAAATTCAAGCATTAATTAATTTCAGGAGCAACAGAACAGGTACAAAACACAAATGCAGGACCAAATATCAAAATGATTAAAGTACTGTACACAATCTCTATTTCAGGGTCACTGTACATTCTTGTATCAATAGTCTACAGCATGTTCATATCCTCAACACCTTCAAGACAAGCACGTATTGAAATTGATAGAAAAGTGCTAAGACAACAAGTAGAAATATCCCCCCCTCACACACACACACACACACACTCATTTGTTTATATTCTCAACTTCTATACAAGACCAGTGTAGAAGCTGACTAGAAAGTGGTTAACTAATATGCAAATATTAAAATTATCTTCTTTTCCATTTCAGACTGAACATGCATATCACCAAAGGGGCTATTTATGACTATGAGCAACTGACCTGCGACCAGAAGGTGAGTTTCAACTTTCAATCCTTCAGGAAAGTCCCTTTAACCCTTCCAGGGTTCACACAAGAGGCCCCCTACCCATTTGACAAATGTCTATCCCTTTAAAAATCCTAACACTAGGGCAGTCATCTTTAATATTGATTACGAGAAGTAAAGAGAGAGAGAGAATTTATGTCCTCTGTGTATTTGTATTTGCACATACACCATATAAATGCAGCTCCTTGATGTGAAATTTTTTTATACTGCACAGTACAAAGCAAAGCTCATATTTACCATCACTATGTTGTACCTCCCTTGTGCAGAAGTTGCTTGGCCAAGTGCTAACCTGCCTTGACCTGAGGGCACAGCAGCTGAAGGCAAGTCTTAAGGGGTCGCGGGGTCAGATTAACAAACCAGGATTTGCTTCAGCAGCCCCGACCTCAAAAGACCTGACCGCCATGACGCCCGAGGCTGTAGCAGTGAGGGAGTTGAGTAAGTGTGTGGATGTTCTAGAGACAATTCGAAGGATGGGATCAAAGGCCACGGTGCCGGTGGTGCTGGTGTACCGGGAACGTAAGCACCGGACGCACCACCGCTACGAGGAGAAAGGACAAAGCAATAAGGTGGTCTTTGCTAAAGAAAAACGTGATTTCTTAAGCTTACTGGGTCTCCCTGGTGCCATGATCACCGAGAAGGGAATTGATTTCACCGTGCGGCCCAACACGGCGTCCGTCCACAAGCGGCAGAGGGAGGCAGCCATGAAGAACAACAATTCCACCAACTCCACCGAAGTCGGAGAACTGGAACCTGATGAGAAGAATGGCGGAGCTGCTGTCCAGACCGATCTTGACGACTCTGAATCATCACCGAGAACAACACGTAATATCTTGGTGCAGTACCTACCATTCATGAAAAAAGGCTCAGTGAGCCCCCAACCAGATGATGTGAGCACCACTGAGGAGGAGGAGGAGGAGGAGGAGGAGGAGGAGGAAGAGGAGAATGCAAAGGAAGGAGAGGGGGAGGAAGGTGAAGAATTCGCAGAAGTGCGGTCGACACTGAGCTGTGACAGTTGCAGCTCAGATGAGACCAGTGAGACCGACGATGAGTCCGACTTGAACACTGATGTTGTGGTGCCCACCGAGTACGTGCACCAAGAGTCCCTCAAGCCCCCGCCCTTCCAAGAAGTGGGTAACACTTACATCATACTCGCCATGGAGAAGCTGGGTGTCAAGAGCACTTCCCGCCTCGTCTCTCCCTTTCTTAGGGTTTCTGTCAGAGGTAAACTTCAGGACTCATAAACACTTACAGTCAATGGATACATTCTTAACCTTTTAACTCTTAGATAGCCATTACACTCTTACTGTCATTATCCTTAAACAGGAACTTGACATCTGAATATTTGAGACTTCATCTTGGTGTTGTAACATAAGTAAATAATTTAGAAGCATTCTCACATCTCCAGTTATGAGGGAAATTTAACGTAAAAACTTTAGAAAGTCCAAGCCAAGGATTGTAATCACCTGCTTTTAACTATCCAATTCTAACGAGCTACAGTGTCCATTTTTAACTGCTCATATAAACCACCCGGTTTTTAATGTGCTTTGATGAATATTGCAGATCCCCAGGGCGAGCTGGTGGGGTCAGCGAGTGTGATCCAAGAGACAGGTGTGTGGGAGATTGTCAACAAGAATTACCTGCAGGCGCCTTCCCAGGTACATCTGCAGCATGCCCTTGAGGAGCTGCCAGAAGGTAAAGTCATACTGAGTCATGTCAGGTCTTACTCAGGGCATGTTTGTCGAGCTTGGGTCATATTTGGTCATGCTCGGGTCATTTTAGGTCACATTAGGATCATATATACACCTGTATATATATATACATACATCATTTATATTCTTAACAGACATGGCCATTTTCCTGGAGCTGCGTCACCACCGGCCAGAGCGAGGTGTGGTCTCTACACTCTGCTATACCTTCCTAGAGCGTCAAGACCTCTCCAACGGCGAGTTTGTCTGTGAGCTGTAAGTCTTTCCATCTTCTTATATCTGTCTTCTTTATCTAATGTCTATCTCTAACATTGTTATATTTTCCAGAAACAATCCAATTCCTTTTTATATTTCTCAAAGCTTCAAAATTTTCTTATACACTATCATTTCATCTGTGCAAGTAAGCTGGTCCCCCTTTTTTTTATTAATTGTTGCTGCTCTTTACTGTTTTTTTTTATTTTTCTCAACATTTTCTTGTAGATCTATTACAACACAATCTTCTTCAAAATATCTAGCTGACATGTTAACAACTGCTTTTCACCATTCAGTTATTTTCTTCAAGACATTGTGCTTGTACCGAATGCCCTTATAAGGTGCAATTAATAGTGACTTCCTTCTTGAGTACTATTTCTCCTCTTTACTTCTTGAAATTTGTTACATGTTTCCATCACTTTATTATATTTTACAATTCCAATACAATTACACTTGACAGTTTAGTTTTGGCCTTCTTTCACATAACACAAGTCTGAGTTACCATTGACAATTTTATTTATATTTTTGAGGGGGATATATCACTTGAACCGTATGCATAATTCCCCAACACTCACACTAGCTTATCCCCTTCACTATGGGGAGGCCATTTTTTATTTTGACTAACGGCAAACAATTTTATTCAGAAGAGAGGGGACTCCAGACACAAGTGGTTAAATGCACCTTCTTCCACAGGTACAATCCACCAGTGGACTATACGAGGAAGGCGCTCAACACTTATACTGAGAAGGCTTTCTTCCTCCACCTTGAAGTCAAACTCACAATGGCCAAGTGCGAGGTTGAGTCCCTAGAGTCACCACAGTCCTTCAACTCCAGCTGAGACAGATAAATAATATTTGTGGTTGACTGTCTTCAAGCACATCTGGGTATTTGACCAACTTCAAGCAAAATACAGCATACAGTCAGTGCATTTGACTGTTTTCAGGTGAGAGCTGCCATCTGTGCACTTAACTGTTTTCTGCTGAAAGTTGACATCTGTGTATTTGACTGTCTTCAGCCCAGTCACAACAAGATCTCATATTAAATCATATTTTCCTTGAGACATAAGTTCTGAAGTGAACTTAAAAGTGTAGTCTATCTCTACATAACTTCTTGGCATTGTCCTTCTCTTGTTTGTCACAACCAAGCCTTGAAAGCTACTGTGCTGTATAGGCATAAAGCTAACAGACAGCACCCACCCTCTGGTATGAGTTGCCAGAGAGAGTTCACTAACGCAGTGTTTCTTGCACTTTTGGTATCCTACCTAAAAGTCTTCAGAGAATATATTATATGATTATGATGTACAGTATTTGGAAGATATTAAATGGCAAGATAACTGTTTAGAAAAAAGAGTAATCACAGTTTAAGTGCTGCAGCCCATAAATACTGAAATATGTGTCATCTATAGAGCTTATAACTCAAGAAAAAATTCCTATTTTTGCTGTCTTGAAAAATTTACAACAAAAACAATTAAAATTCTACTAGTACAGTATTAAGTTTAATCACACCTTTATCACTGAACTGATAAAAATATCCTAGACAGACTTAACTCCATGAAAACATAGTAAAATATTAATGACATTATTTATGAAATCTAGAAAGCAAAAAGTAGTATTACAGGTGTTACTGTTGAGACTGAGTAAACATATAGCCCATTGTATTTTGACAGTAACTGTATACAGTATAGTCTGCATTTACGCGGTCAATTGAACCCGTGGAGGTCCGTGTAAAACGAGAAACGTGTAAACGAAATAACAGAACATATGGGATTAATTGAAATAGAGACTGGGCCGACTCCCAAATTCCACTTTTTCCGACACAATACGTACCTTGTAGTAAAAATAACATCATAATTTTATGATGGTATTGCTACACACATATTATCTAAATAAAAAACTACAAATCTAAAGGTGTTTAACACTTACGTTTGTAGAAGAGATGCGTCGGCACAAGTGGATGGCGGCTGGTTCCGAGGCAGAGGGCAGATAAGTTGCCCTCCGGTGAATCACTTTCACTACTCGCAGAGGTTTGCAGGGCCTCCCTGACAAACCCCTCAAAGTCCATATCCTCACTGTCACTATCACTGACTTGGGCTGGCTGTGGTTGTGGTGGGTTGCGGGCGAAGAAGTCCTTAATACTAAGTTGACGACTAGCATTTATGTTGTTGTAATAGATCTCAACATACGGCTCCATAACTTTCGACAGATGCTTGACTGGGTCTTTGTCAAGGATGAGCTTAATTTTCTCCCCCAACTCGTTGACTTCCTTCACATAATCATGGCTTGGTCCGGGAAATTCAAGGTTTTTCTGGGGAGGTGGGGGTCCAGCGGAAGCCGTTGTGAGGGGAATAGCGGGCACAAGAGAGAACTGTATACGCGGACTGAGAACAATGAGACTGGCCCGGCTAGGTCAGTGACTTCTGGTGGCAGGGCACGTCACGTTACATTAGACCAATCACAGCTAGCAGCGGAGGGACTGCGTGGGTGGTAAGGATGCGTGGCCCAATCACAGTCTGATACGTCATGTCAGCGATAACGTAAGAGCGACCTAATGCACACCCCTCACCGCGCCGCTTCCCGCGTATGGTCAAGAATGGACCGCGTGAGTAAAAAATGGCGCGGCACGTCTGGACTCTCCAGCCGCTCGCCGCGTAAATGATGAAATTTACCGCGTAATTAAAACATTTCATTCTGTCAAGGCACCGCGTAAATGACCAAACGCGTAAACAAAAACTGCGTAAATCCAGACTATACTGTAGTATTATTTGTTCACTTACAGTACATTAGCTAAATAGTATAACTGTCTTATAGATATAATTATAAACATTTAATAAGTATTGTGTACCAGGTCATCTTTATGTCGTGCCATCTCATAAAGCATTTAGTCTTGAAACTTGTGAAATTGTGTATGAATTATAAATCATGAAACTGGGGCATTAACCTTGAGTAAAACATTGTAGTAGCCTCGGTTCTAGTTTTTAAATGATTGTGCAAACTAAATATTGTGTATTGTCAAGTATATACTGTACTGTACCACATTACAACTCAAAGTGACAGTAATGTACTGTACTATAAACTATAAATTATTATCTACTATAAATTATAAATGGTTGTTTATTGTAGGCTATAAGCAGAACAGACTTCAGGGCTTAGTAATTACTATAAAGATTTGTCATACACCACAGACTTACAGTACCTCCTGATAACCTGGAGGCTACTGGGACCTCAGGAGGCTTGGGTCAAGATGGTTAGAGGATCATGTTAACATGACTGTCCAGCTTTACTAAAACAAGAATTTCAGTTCATGAGAACAATTTTCTGCCTTGAACTTATTGTTGTCTGTTATGAAACTGTTATCTCTGAACTTGTAAAATTGTCATGATGTCCATATGTAAATATTTTCAGATCTTGCTCATGACTTTTCATAACTGTTGACAAAATCCCGTGTCGAGCCGGTTCAACTTTAGGGCTTGAACTTCAGATGCCATATTTTACACTTCTGTGATATTCTAAAAAGCTATAAAATACTTTTAAAGTATCTATTATAGTACGGTGCCTCAATAATAATTTTGGGCACAACCTACCCTTCCCCACCACAAACCTTTGTAGATGTTCCACTGATGAACACCTATAATTTTGCCTTCAAGCAGTGTGAATTTGGAAACACAAGCACCATTCATTGTTGTATCTCAAGTTTCAGCATATCAGCACAAACACAAGATTCTTTGAAATGTTCCATCGTCGATGATTGCCTTCAACAAAGAAATTAGACAACTTATGCTAAAGTACAGCAAAAAAAGTAGTTAGACATCTAAATAACATTAATTTGCATTAATTAATAAGCTTGAAGATGAGCACTTCACTTGTAACAACTACAGTACTGTTTTTACAGATAAATGCCTCAGTACATGGCAAACAGAGCTTATTAGGTGTATTATATACAGTATATATAAACAGTAGATTTGGCCCAGAAGCTTGTACAGGTAATACAGTATAAAAGAAACTGTATTTGAGATTAAAGAATGAGAGTTACAGTACAGGTTAAACAGTGAGGGTTTAGTGATGGCAGTAGCAGCAAGTCAGAATAAAATGCAGTAAAGAGGAGGAATTAGAAATTACAGGAACAGAGAAATGGTGAAAGCAGAGAATTGGTATGAAAGTAAGAAAATTTGTAATACTGTACAGTACAATACTGATGACAATGTATTGAGATAGAGTAAGACTAGAATTAAAATATGCACAGTATGGACAAATGGATGGCCAATAAGAGAGGGAATTTGCATTGAACAAAGCACAGTAAGTCACTGAAGATGATAGAAAAGAGGAGATGATAAATGCTATAACTATAACCCACAGATTGAGAATAATGCAGAGAAAATATTTAAAGTGGAGGAGTTTCCATGAAGGTAAAGCTAAGAATAAATTTGTCAGAATAATAGTCAGGAAATGAATATACAGTAAAGACTGATGGTGATGGATAGAGGGAAAGACAAAAAAGAGATACTGTACTGTATAAAGAGACAAATGAGAGCATTACTGGGCTTAAAAACAGCCCTTGACAAGACTATCAAGAACAACGGAGGGATCCTACAGAGGCCACTAGCCTTCTTCCCTTGGCATGGCCACCTCTAGTTTGGATGATCATAAGATAAATATGGTAAATAGAGAAAGACAAATATAGAAACAGCAAAAGACATAATGAGAGAGAGAGAAACATAAAATACTGCAGTATGTGTGTGTGTGAGTTGAGAAACAGATGAACTGAAAGAGAAGCATGAGTGAATACATCTGACAGATGATGTTAAATTTAGAATGAAAATCCAACTGACATAAAGTTATTACACTAGATGAAGTTAATGATATAAGAGATAGAGGAATATTATGCAATAAAGATGATCAGTGAGTGTTGTAATGGCACCTCATCTGAGTCTCAAGACCCAACTCTGCTTACCATAGTTGTACAATTATGCTTATTTGTAGTTTATTGTCATCAATACTTCTGCTTTATAGCAAGTTCTTTTGACAGAAGTATTTAAATTCAAATGCACTTAGATATAGAAATATATTCAATTAAAAACATATAGATGTAGAATTAGTACATACTTTAGACTATTTTATCAAAATTAGCCCTACCTCATAGAATGAAACAGATTTTTGGCTATGAAAAGTTGACTTTTAGAAATGTTAGTACAGTTTAAACAAAACTTAATGCTTTGGTAATGTAGTCAGCATAGATAGTGTACCTACCTTGCTCTTGACCTCTAAGCCAAACTTAAATATCAAATACTAATAATCTTGCCCTAAGCTAATGATCTGTGCTGAAATAAAAACTGCAAATTTACTTTCTCAAAGCTAATCAATTAAATATGGTATTGAAAATTATTCATAAGTCTAATAGTCAATAATTTAAATCTTCAAAGCCAATTCAAGAAATATTGTTTTCTTGTAATTTCAATGATTCTGTAATTACATGCTGGTAGTACATGTACAATAATTATCATTTACCTACAGTGCACAGTATGGAAGTAAGCTTGATTAAAGCAGGTCACAGATACAATTTTCTTTGGATAAGGCATAATTTGAGCTGTCAAGATTTTATCTATAGGTGTAATCATAAATTATGTCTTAACATTTTAATGACAATTATTATCATATATATATATATATATATATATATATATATATATATATATATATATATATATATATATATATATATATATATATATATATATATATATATATATATATATATATATATATATATATACACATGACCATGTAGGCATTTATTAACAATATTTTCTGTCTGTTGGCAGTGCCCACTTGGTGGTTTATGATGAATTAATTATTTTTATCTAAGTACAGTACTATATTGTATTTATATCTCAATATAATTATGCTGTAATAATATAATGCCATATATTTATTTTTATATTACTGTACTTTGGTACATTAAGCACAAAACCAAAATCTCAGTGGTGCTGGTTTATTAACTTCCGTCTAGACAGCCAATTATGAACTTTTTTCCAAAGAAACATTTTGATTTTACAAAACTTCACATTATCAAACCTATAACCTGTTAAAGTGCACTAATAATCAAATACAATTTACCAAAGACTGTCAGTCAAATGGAAACCATCTGACTGATGGGATAATTGATCCCACTGGACCTTACAGTCAGTAGTCTCACACCACAGAAAATGGTATCTGTCAAGTTCCCCTCACCATGAGACCAGGTGAACTTGTTAACAGTAAGGAGAGTACCATACATATCAGTATTGTGTTTTTGGTGCTTCTGATAAATACTGTGTATTTCTTTCATTTCCTAATAAACTAAGATGAAAATCAAGTGTGTCTGAAATGTTGTTCCTTCTCTTAAGGTTATCATCAACTGTATGTTCTAGATTCAAGCTACAGTCTTACAGGTGTAATAAAATGCAACACCACAACTGGAAGCAGAGACCTTGCCTGTAATGGAAGTAAAGTGTATACAGTACACAAAAATCTAGTAACAGTACAGCTGGCTAGCAAAAATACAAGAGTAAATTAATAAGTTCAGCTGCACCGTCTTCAGTCATTTCTTTAAGGTTTCTGTACCCCTTGATCCACCTTACACATGACTGGTAGAGAATCAAAGATAACTGATCCATAGAAAAGTACTGTATCTGACAGACCAAAATTGAGTTTTTGTGTTTGTTACACTTGGCTATTATAATCATTATCAAGGCCAGCAATAAGAATAAACAGAAAACTGCATGGAGAAGATACTGAGTCAATACGTCTAGCACAATCCTTATGGTAGTTGTGCTCCTAATATAAACACAAAATATACATTAATACTTCAACGTGACAATCACTGAGAAACCTCTGAAAGTTAATCTGTTGAGCCAATGAAGTAACTATAAATTATTTGTCTTACTTTATAATTATGTAAAAGAATATATAAGTTTTATATTTATGAATATCCTTATTACAACGGCAGCAAATTGCTTAATGAAAAGTTTTTCATCTTTGAGAAAAAAAACCTGTTACATAACTGAACATAAATGATGCAATACAATGAAGGAATTTTGATCCTTAGCTCAAACAAAGCCCACAATCACCCCAGGAATGGTTATGGAGGCTGCTCCAGCTGTGAGCATACATGTTATATTATACTCTTCAGTGTCATGCATTTTGAGATTTGTTGATGTTTAGTGGTACACAACCACACACTAACACACATGTGTGGGTGTAATTAATAAAATATAATGATGTTAGTGGCACTGTACAGTAGTACTGTATCACATACAGATCCCATCATGTGTCCTGGGTTCAATCCCTTGCCAGGGTCAGATGTGAGAATGACTCAACCAAACAATGAAGACCATAACAATGTAAGAAATAACAGACCAACCACCTGAATCCGTAGGAAGCTGATAAGTGGTGAAATGATTACAGTACCAAAAAAAATATGGACTTTACATAACAATGTACAGGTACATGTTTCCACAAAATACACCTAACAGACAGTATGCTGCTTCGGTTCACTGCAAAAGTAAATAAATATTGGAAATCCATAGATATAACCTGGTACTGAGATGCTTGTGTCACACATTCAGTATAAATTCACTGAAGTGGTAAATTATGATAACAACTCCATGGGAAGCTGTTGTTGGAAAAAACAAAATAAGGTTATCAGTACTACAGTAAATACTGACATATATAAACTAATACAAACATGGATAATTATAATAACTATACATTTCCCTGAGAATAAAGGCTTCTGTGTATCTGTGCCTTACAATATCCAATGATGTAAGTATCAGACTGTTGATACATTAGTAAAGAATGATAGGCAGTGGTCAACAAAAACTCGGCATTTACAAAGAAACCAAACAACTTTTATTTCACGTAAAATATAAAAATCCAAAATGAACTTTGGTACAGATTCTGTCACTATATATGGATCAATTATCCTATAATGACTTACAGCAGAGTGGGAAACTCCAATAAATTTATCACTTTAATGAAATTATAAACTAGCAATGAAATTTTTAACAGGTGTTGTTTTAACCAATAACATTTGAAGAAGTGGAAGGATTCAGAATCTGAAGTATATTGGCAAGATTCTACATGTGGTCACACTTCAATTCACAAAGGGAACATGGTATCACACACAGGAACATGGTTACTATATGGAATTATACTATGAAGTATTCCTTGCATGGACCTGCATAGCCATTTCAATATTTATACACTAATCAGATAAAAAATAACCTTCATTCCTCAGTTTGTTCTCTGTGTTCCTTTATTCATAAATTATCCAAAACTCTGCTCCAATAACTTTTATATTATATCAATTATCACTGATATTTTGCACTGCTGTACAGCATTCTTTAGGACAATAAGAAATTACTTCTGCTGTGACAATTTACATTATAAGTGGCAATAAAACATTTGTAATCATACAGGAAATCAATAAATATATATTTTCATAATTCAAGAAACACTAAGACAATTACAACAGGAAAATTTCTTAAATTTGACCTTTTAGAAGCAAAATAAAAATGGCCTAAGAAACACAATAATCATATGACAGGTCTAATCCCAATCAACATATCATGTCCTCACAATACTGTCAAAACACTCCAGCAATGGTACAGTACCACTGGATAGTCATCTTATATAAAGGTACAGTCATAAACAAAAGTCCTGTTGCCTCTCCTTCTACTCCATGATTCCTGAGATTCAGACTCATGAATATGAAGCATCACTGGACAGAAAAATGCATTAGTGTCTACTGCTTCAGGGTTCGTGGAGCAGTAGAAGTGGCAACAAGGTTTTTTTGTTCGTGACTGTACATATACAGCCATGTTTGTAAATTTTCCTTTGGTATGAGCTCATAACAAATCAGGAGGCTGACTGGGTCCCTGTTAGCTGCAACCAAGATGTGGGTTCAACCAAATATGTCACATTTTCATGAGTTTGCAAAAGACAGCAAAAATAAGCTGGTAAGTTGATAGTAAGCCTTTGTTTTATTATCAACTTAAGTACAGTAACTGAAAATATAGAGTAACTATAATGCAATGTGACTATCAGTAATTGTTTCTCTGCTGACCTCCACCAAAGCCTCGAAATAATGATATTACCGAGGCAGCTGCAGATGAAACAATACCACCTGCTCCAACACCCATTGCACCAAGGCCCATGCCTCCTTGTGCAATCTGACCCATAGTTGCCTGGGAGTATATAGTTGTTGAATTAAAAGTGGAAAAGGCTTGATGGGTTGGTACAGATGGTGGTGGCTCCAGGAGAGGGAAGTTGGGGACCTGTGTTGCCAAAAACATACAGAAAAAAAATAGTATCAACGACTGTCTTCTTCTCCACTAACACAACTCTAGCTTATTAAAACTCCTGGGTCCAAGCATTAGTTCAAGTGGGTTGCCTCTGAGCTGAATAAAATCATGTGTTAGTCAAATAAAATATTAAAGTGGCATCTTGAAGTGAAAGGGTTGGTGGAGATAGCCTACTAGCCCCTTGTGTTAGGGGTCCTTCTGACCTGAATAAAATTGCCTGGAGTTAGCTAAGTACAATAAATGTATTAAATGTGGCATCCCTGTACTGAAAGGGATAAAGATAAACAATACAGTATCTAGTTATCTATTGTTCCTAACTCCTCCACCACTTTTGTAAGGGGTTGCTCAAGGGGGTATATAAACACCCCAAAAAGGGAGGAGACGATAAGTGAGAGTGGTGCAAGATGACTGCTTAACAATGGTAAGTATACTGATAGCAAAATATTGTATATAAAAATCTCAAAGTAAATGTAACATAGCCAATGTTCTTCTCAGTCTTGACAGGTTTATAAAAGGTCACCGATTGCTTAAATGCAGTTTCATCTAAAACCTTGTGTAGAATAACTCCAATACAAGGTTTTATTAAATTAAATTTAAGGCACATGCATTACTGTGCTTACTAGATATATCTACCAATTGAAAGACAAGACACAAACACACAAACATTCAGACAATACTGGACATATTCTCTTCACAGTTTCATTATATCACATTGGGACAAAATATAAGGAGACCTTTTGCCTGACTTGGAGTGAAGTGACAAGAGAAAAACATAGCTGGGGACCTTGCGGTGGATGAGGAATACCACAGCAGAACACATCTGTTATACCAGCCCTGTACTGTGATATAAATGAATGACAGCAAATAAAGGGAGAGTCTGTACTTGCTTGATTCCAGTCATCCTTGCATGATAATGAGGAAAAGGCTTGAAAATGAAAAGAATGAATGCGGTATGGAGACAAAAAAAATGTGCATGAAAGTGAGAGAGAACAAAATAAATCTCAATAATGAATATAGAAGGAAATTCTAGTATATAATGGTCACTAATTTACTGCACATTACTTAACATTATTTGCATATGACAAATTTACCAATTTCTAGTTTTTTGTGATGGTTACAATTTAGTCGAGCACATTAACGTTGACAGATGAAAAGATAGATGGACAGACAGAAAAAACAGACTGACAGAAAAATCAATTAACAGAAACACTTATTGAAACACAGATAGACAAGAATAAATAGAGACATAAATATAGAGATACTTTGATTGAAAGATAACAGCAAATACAAACACAAGTGACTTTTGCTGGCTGTAAAAACAAATGGTAAAAATAAAAGAATGAGTAAATAACTGAACAACTTGTGGGACACTTACAGTTTCCCACTCAGCAGAGAGAGTGTCTGTGTCCTCCTCCTCCTCCGAGTCAGAACCATCTGCGTTGTCTTCCTCCATCCCCTCCTCCATACTTTCCACCAGAGACTCAGCGATCTCAAAACTACCTTGTCTGCAAAGAGCTGAATGAGCTGAGAATTGATTTTTTTTTAATAATAATTTTCACCTAAAGAACAAATGATTTTATACTATCATTAAGAAAAGTTGACAGTAAACTCCGGTGAGACACATAGTTAACCCCTTTGTGTATGGTCTCCCTTCTTGAGGTGAAAAAAAAATCATCTGGTATTATCCGAATAAAATATTAAAAGTGGTGTCCCTGTCAATCAGCAAACTTTCTCCTTACAAAATTGGCCATTCATGAGCTTATTGACCATCCAGTGTAAAGAGACTGAGTGTTTAGTCCCAACCTGACAGTCTTCATGGTTAAAATTTGAGAAGACAAAAAGAAATGAAAATAATGAGAAAATTACGTCAAAGCCTACCAAAAGTTAACACACACACTCACATCCATGTCATTGTGCAGGCCAAAGTTTCTTTGGCTGTTTCGAAATGAGCATACTGCATTTATAAGTAAATTACTGTCTGAGGAAAATTTAATTTATAAAGTAAACCCTCGATAACTCGGTATGGATATGATCTCGGAATGTATCAGTATAACTTGGGAAATGCCGAGATATATAAAATTATCTGGGAAAATCTCGGCATATCTGGCCACCTGCATCACCTCTGTGTCACCTACCATGCCTCTGTGTCACCTACCATGCCTCTGTGTCACCTACCATGCCTCTGTGTCACCTACCATGCCTCTGTGTCACCTACCATGCCTCTGTGTCAACTACCATGCCTCTGTGTCAAATACCATGCCTTTGTGTCATCTACCATACATTTGAGTCTCCTACTACAATGCTTCCTTCTTCACCTGCAGTGCTGGTAAGTGTTACTTTTTTACATTTAGTTAATACATGTACACATATATGGGTCGATAATTTTTTATTCTTGTATTTTTTTAAGAGGGGGGAAGTGCCTCGATAAGTTGGAATTTGGGATAACTCGGCAAGGCCAGAGCCCCATATGTGCCGAGTTATCGAGGGTTTACAGCATAGTGAAAACTTAAGAACTGTTGGTAATAATATATGAAAGAGAATTTTCTAATCAGTATGGGCAGAAACACTTCACAATTATAACCCTCGCACATGAAGAAAAATAAATCTGTATCTGCCAAAACCCTTCAACTCTTACACATACAATGATCACGCACCTTCCTAGATCAGCCACTTGTGTATCAAGAAGAGCCAAGAGATTTGGTGTGGTATGAGTTGGCCGCAGTAACTTTGCTGGGACATTTTGGGACAAACACAAATATAATACGTTTGTATTTAATCTTGCTACCCGTCTGGCGAACTGTTGTTCACTCAACTCAATTCTGCAGAATTCACTGTAAAAATAACATTTTTAAGTAAGTTTACTTTCTAGTTGGTGCAAACTAATGTTCATATTTAACTGAGTTTTCAAATACAAGTACTGTACTGTACTGTAATGTCTAAACTTTATCTTGGAGCATCACTCAGTACTGTATCCTATTGTCACAGTTAATACTTCACTTGTGCAAAATTTAAATACATCTACTAATTTTTCTTTGCAAACATCTTTAATGTTCCTACTATCAAGTAAATTAATCCAATACTCCATATAAAAGGACACCGCTAAATAATTAATTACGCTGGACTAGCTGCTCCTTTACTTTGAACTTTTATCTTCTACTCTATTACAACTAAGTCTTACAATCAAACAAACATAATTTTATTATCTAATATACCTGTACTATAGGACTATAATTATCAATACAGAAAAGTCCTGCATGAAAAGTAAAAGCAAAGGAGACCATAAAAATAGCTAATATACTTGGAGTCCCTGGGTTACGAACAAGTTCTGTAAGTCGGGGACCTCTTGTACAGCACATTAAAAAAGGCAAAAGTTAAAAAATCTAAGAAGAAAAAGTAAAAATGCATTTAAGCGCTTTTAAAAAATATAAGGATATACTGTAATGTAATAGTATAGAAATTTGCCATAGCTATTACCTATAACACAACTTCTTTGGTAACGTTACATCAAGGTAGAAGGCCAGTGTGTTGACAAGTTGGGTGAGGTACGTAAGACCCGCACACACACTGAAGCCTCCAGACCGCTCCTCATTATCACTGTCTTCACATTCACTGCCTGTATTCATCACTGTCAAGCGGAGAAAAAAGTGAAAGGTTACAAAATCTAAATCAAAATTGACACGAGATTATTCCCCTGTTTGTAGACTAATATAATCTTTAAGATGATCAGAAAGAAGGTCAAGAAATAACACAGCCTCTCATAGTCTTGAAGATAAAAATACTGTACAGTACAGTACTAAAATTAAAACAAATGTAATTACAAAGTTATTACATTATACAATATTCATAATTTCTGTTTGAAAATCATATACTGCATCCTTAGTACTGCTGATGATGCTTAAAATGTTTTGAAAATAATTCCACAGTATAGCTACTTCTAAAAGTAGTGGTACTGTACAGACAATTTCTAATTTGTTATTGCTGTGATCAACATGTCATGTAGCCTAATATGTTTTGTTCAACTATATTTCTGTAACCAGGATGAGACTTAGAAAAATAAATAAATAAATAAAAAATATCATGTACAGTATAAGACATCCTTTTCCCACAAAGGTGAAATCTAAATGTCAGTCTATATTTATCATCCTCCCTATCCTACAGTAAACTTTTTCTGATGGCCACTGTTGAGTGACACTGTGATACCAACCATCAGTGAACAGCATCTGATGCTTCCTACACTGTCTTCCCTAGGTGTCTACATCTCACTTTACTTTCCTTTCCATTTCTAAATCAATCCTGTCAATGTTCCAGGTGGAAATGCGAATTTCAGTCATCCAAATAAATTATAGAAATAAATCACACTCTTCAAAACTGCTTTCTTCTTTTACATGACCAAACTTCTTATTGAATTCTTGACAATAAATGAACTTACACAAGAGGTTGTACGCTGAATAGTCCCCTGAGCCAGGCAAGAGAGGATGGACAATGCGGTATTGTGTCTCATGTGACGTGTCCGTGTAAACCCATCGACCACGTACATATGTTGTTTGTGAGGCTTCTGCAATAGCTGATACTGTATCTAGATGTTCAGGGTCTGTATCCATACTGCAATAAAAGGCCTGCATTACTACACATATTCTTCAATAAAATGTCTTCTGTTAAAACAGTCTTTTTCTTTGTTAAATTCCAAGCACACATCCTGTAATGTACACGCAATTTCCTTTCTAACAAACTTGCAAAACTGATTGGCATTTACCATCTACAAGCAAAGGTCACAAGCTGGCACTGTAATCATTATATCAAAAAGCTAAGCTAAAAACACCTGGATTCATAAGTACAGTATACAGTACAGTATGTGGTACAGTTATTAATTCCTCAAAATATTCAGTGGTTAGATGGCCTGTATCAAGCACCAAACCAGGGAGGAAATTTTTTTTCTGAAATAATGACATGCATTATTTTGAGCAAAAATAAGGAAGTAAACATCTGTGGGGATGGAAAATCAACCCCCATAAACTGCTTAGTAAAACAGAACCAATATATAAACCAGTTATTTAAAAACATAACTGTACTGTAAGGAGGGCAATCAGAACCAGTAAATAAAATTTACAATGGGTTAATGCATTTTCTTTAACCTTCCCTTATAAACAGAATACTATAGACTGTTGATGTGGATGGTCGTGTAGTGATATTGTATAGTAAAATGCTTCAGGAGATTATTCTGAGGGTCAAAACTGCTGTTACTATCATATGAATTAACTGTAGATGCAATACCTTCTGGCTGGCTGCACCTCAGTGATGGGGAAGATGTAGCGAGTCAGCTGGCGTATGTTCCCTCGGACAACACCTTTCAGCTGAGCTTCACTTATAGCCAGCTGTTCTCTCTTGTCTTGAATCTGGTAATGTTGTGTTTATTATAGATTATTATTTTAAAAACTGTTTGATTGTCTTACACTAGTTGGTGAGGATATGATCAGTGACTTATATCAGTTAGTATATGGACTTTTCATGTACAATACTGTACAGTGCACCACACAAGCAAGTGGATGTATTCAAAACATGTACCCCTGTACAGTATAACTACTGATAACTACCTAGAGCATACACGTGACCCACTTGTATTTTATGTAGTATAAGGCATTAATTCATCACCATCCTTTGTTAAAATATTTGCAGTTAAATAAGTTCCATGTACAGTACTGTTCTGTGTAATAAAGTTACAGCATCTGTCACAGATAATAAAGTAACATATTATTGGATAAAAACCTTTTAAGACTGTAAGTTAGACTGCAAGTCATAGTGTACCAATCAATTGTACAGTATTATGGCTTCCCTTAGAGGATGGTTCAAGTTATAAAGCAAGATATTACCTTCTCCTGATACTGTTGCAAGATCTTCTTCATCTTGGACAGTCTCAGTTGAAACAATGGCAGCTGCTGACGTCTAACAGCATTGGTGTTGTATAACTCAGCACTCTGGGTCCTGACTGTAAATATAAAATATTATTGCCTTGTTAACCGGACATAACTACAGAGGGAATCATCATCTTTATCAATGGTTTACTGCCACTTTCCATGCTTGTCTGGATATTGTAATGAATTAATGACCCTATTATGAAAAGAAGCCCTTCACTTAATTGTACTTTAATTAACAATTTAACATTATTTACAAAAGACATTACCACACATTCTTGTAACATGCTCTTAACTTTTACATGTTTGGGGAAAAAAGTGCTGGATAGTTTATATAGAAATAACATGTTCAATATATACAGTACATAACTTGGAAATACTGTAAAATACATAAGTTATGTACTGTACTGTATCCCTGAGTCTCCTATATTTGACAGAGATCTCATACATTCTGGAAACATTTGAGATTCTGATGTTTAATGTTTGTTGATCATATTACCATAGCTGGCTTTA